TAAAAGTAATAAAATATAAATAACTATGTATCAATGCATTTGAAAACCTAGATGAAGTACATAGATTCCTAGAAAAGTATAAATGGCAAAATTGCCGTAGTAAGAAATAAGTAGACCTTGAATACACCACTAACCACTAAAACTAATTAGTGATTAAGTGGTAATTCACTACCCAACAAGCCTTAGACCTGGATGGTTTTATACGCAAACTATACAAAACTTCATGGATCCCATGGATCATACAGTCCTACATTTACCAGGTGTTTTGGAAAACAGGAAGATAGGGAAATCTGTTCCAGTCATTGTATGATATATTATAAAATCTTTATACCTGAACCAGATATGAATCGTACAGGTACAGAAATCATGGATATCACTTTGAATCAGAGGTGTATAAAATCTAAATGAAATATCAGGCTGGCTGTATATAAGAGAGGTTTATCCCAGAAACTGGAGAGAATTCTGTGGAAAGAACAATCACTACTTAAGTACCACAAATGGACTAAGGGAGGAGGAGGAACAAACTCAACACATCTATGGAAGTGTTGAATCTAGCTCATGGCCTATTAATAATGAACGCTCTTGGAAAGTCAGGCATTGAAAAGAACTTCCTCAATCTCATAGACACGGTCCTCCAAAAATCTACAGTAAAAATATGTTTAATGGAAAGACTTCAGGAACTTCCTTTTAAAATCAGATAGAGATTTGTTTTAAAACCAGATAGAGATTCTGGTTGCCGCCACTGCTGCTTAACACAGTGCAAGAGGTCCTGGCCAATGAAGTAAAATAAGAAAGATATGGATGGGGGAGCAAAAAAGACGAAAAGTATTATTTGGAGATTTGGGAACCTGCATCCCCATCCTGGCCTAGGGCTATTAACAAATGACAGCAAAGTTGCTCAGAAAATGGAATACCACAGAGTAATCCAACAAAAAATGTACAGGACTTTTATTTTTAAAAGCCTATGATCCTAAGCATGAATATAATAAAAAGCGAATAAATAACTGGGAATATTTTGTTCATGGATGCCGAACTTAATATTGTAAAGATGCCAGGTCTTCCACAAATTATAACTTCAAAAATATGATAGTCAAAATCCCAGGAAGATTTTTTTCTGAAGATTTTATACACTAATTCTAAAATTTATCTGGAAGAATAAATACCTATTAATTTATCTAAATCAGTTTGAAAAAGGAAAGCAATAGGGGAATCACCCTTCCCCAGGTCATTTGGGGAAAACATGGTGATTAAACTAGTGTGATACTGACACAAGACAGGAAAACAGGCCGATGGAGTTGAAGGTCAAGTTCAGTAGTATGAGAAACTGTTGTGTTTTGAGCAAAGTAGCTTCACAAGTCAAGGGAAAGGTGTTTTTTTGTTTGTTTTTATTTTAGTGGAAACTTGCTTTAGTGAAAGGGGTGGGGAGAGAAATAAAATTGCATCCCTATTTTACCCTATATAAAAATATTTCCAGAGAGATTGAAGACCTAAATGTGAAAAACAATAGATAAAAAACAGAGGATAATTTTGAGAATTTGGGATGGTGAAAGATTTCTCCAAGTGCCATAAAAGTCCAATTATAATGGAAAAATAGACCTACCCCTCTGTGTCAAATGGGAAAGTATCAGACTCTGTGACTTCATCCCTTGCTCCAGATTTCCTCAGGGGCAGCCAAGAAGGATGAGACTAAGGGCAGGTGCTGAGATTCCTGCTGAGAGAGGGCCTTCAGGTTCTTGTGCAGGATAGGGGAACTTGATGGTCTTTTATTTTCTTGGACAGAATTGCTGCTATTGGCCAGGTGCAGTGGCTCATGCCTATAATCCAGGCACTCTGGGAGGCCAAGGCAGGTGGATTGATTGATCTCAGGCCTGAGCAAGAGTGAAACCCTGTCTCTACTAAAAACAAAAAAAACTAGCCGGGCATTGTGGTGGGCACTTGTAGTCCCAGGTACTTGGGAGGCTGAGACAAGAGAATCTCTTGAGCCCAAGAGTTGGAAGTTGCTGTGAGCTATGATACCGTGGCACTCTAGCCAGGGAGATAGAGTGAGACTGTTTCAAAAAAATAAAAATAAAAGAATTGCTGCTGTTTCCAGAGGGTTCAGATTCACCTAAGGAGGCTTCTCTTAGTGAAGAGCCTCAAACACAGGTGAGATAGCCAGGAGACACATGAAAACTTAATGAGAGTGGGCGTTGGGCAGTCTGTTGCTGCTCACGCTGTCAGGGTGGGTGTGGGTAACCCTAATGCAAAAGACGTGGGCTGGTCATTGACACTAATCCTGAGTGAACTCCAAAATCAGGCCAGGAGCTTGTTAAAAATAAGTTGGAAGGCCCCACCCTGACACATTCTGATTCAGTAGGTGTGAGACAGCTCAGGAATCTTTGCCTGACCAGCTCCTGAGGGTGGCCAGGGTTGTACCTGCCGAGCTGGATCACCTCTCCAGGGTCCAGAGAGCAGGACTACTCAGCTCCCAAGGATGTGGAAGTACCTGGGCTGAGATGTGGAAGGGGTGTGCTCATGAGATGTGCTGGGGTGGGATGGGCAGTGCAGTGGTTGGGCCACAAGGAAGAGAGCAGCACAGCCAGCAGCCTCCCCGCCTCGGTACTGATCCTTGACCAGAATGTTCTGTCAGCTGCCTGCCTCCTTCCCAGCCTGGGAGCCCCTTGAGGGCAGGAACCTTCATCATTCATACATTCTTGTATTCCACAGATACTTATTAAAATGTTCATAGGCTAGGGACAGGCTCTAACAGGGACAAGGTCCAGTCAGCTTGTCTAGAGCTTCCGGTGGAGTGGAGGTTGGGGGCAGGCAGTAAGACCAGGCAGCTCTAATGTGTATCGAGTGCTGCTGTGGACGCCAGAGCCATCTAATAGGGACATCTGTCCCCTCCTTGGGAGACTTGGAGAGGCTTCCTGGAGAAGTGAAGTCTGAGATTGTGATGGATGAAGCAATCAAAGCGGGGTAAGAAGACTATTTCTGACACCAGGGAGGGCACATGCAGGCCTCTGGTAGGAGCAGATAAGGTGAAGGTGTCTGGACTGCAAGACCCCACGGAGATTGGTGAATACGGCACAATGTGGGCTTGGAGCCCTCTCCAGGCCCACACACAGGAGATTTTACTGTAGTGCCACACAGTATAAGGGACTCTTCGTCACCCATCTGATTCCTAGATTGGCATATGATCCAGGGTGGCTGCAGAGACTATGACAGGCTACATCTGCCAGCCGGACAGGCTGGGCTAATCCAAGCTCCTGCACACTCCCCTGAGGTTTCTTCCCCTGTCCTTCCCCTCTGTTCCTATGGGCTGGGCCAGCTGTACCTCTGGAAACCAGGCAGTATTTTTCTTTCAGCACCTAGGAATATTAACTTCTCTGAGTTAGTATAGGCCATTCCCGAGTCGGGGAAACTGAGGCGGGGAGAGATGCACTAGATGTCTCTGACCTCCCAAAGCTGTTAATAGAATGTTCTCCTCTAGGAGAAGTAAAGTGCTCCTCCTTTCTGGGAGCCGGAGGAGGCTAGACTGCCTGAGCTCATGGGCTTGAGACCAACCTGAGCAAGAGTGAGACCCTTTCTCTAAAAATAGCTGAGTGTTGGGGCAGATGCCTGTAGTCCCAGCTACTTGGGAAGTTGAGGCAAGAAGATCTCTTCTGTTCAGGACTTTGAGGTTGCTGTGAGCTATGATCCCATGGCACTCTACTGAGGGTGACAAAAAATAAATGCTCTGTCTCAAAAAAAAAAAGAAAAAGCTCCTCCTTTGGGGATGTTTTCGTGCATGAGTCTTTAGGGTAGCTGCAATGCTAGCTTCGGCCTGGTACTTGGTGGGTGTGCAGCAGTGTGTGAATTGCACAGACACATCTACTCAGTCCCTGGAGAATGAACTCTTTGAGGCCCCAGATGGGGAGGGCAGGCCCTTTCCCCACCTGGGCTGGTCTCAGGTGGGCCTCATGCTCAGCAGACTTGGGACATAGTGACAGTGGTGCTGTTTTAGTGATCCACATTTTGGGTGCCAGGCACCCTGTTCATAGATATTCTTATACCTCTGTCCTCAGAAAATGTGGGGTGATGTTGGTGAGAGGGAGGAATGAGGAGCTCAGGAAACAGATGCAAAGATGGAGACTCCAGCGAGGAGGGGGTTAATCACTCTCAGAACCTGTCCTGCAAAGGCCAGCCAATAGGATTATCACTCTACCTAGCCCCTCTGCCCCAATCCTGCACTGTAGCTCACCCAAGATTCCCCCAGCAGGTGAAGTGCAGCAGGTGAAGTGCGGGACTTGTGACCCTCAGTTGGAAGCTGTGTGACTATAGGACAGGGCCTGAGGGCCCTCCCTGCTGGGAAAGGGGTGAGACTTGAAACAGGCTCCTGGAAGCCAAGGTGGGCAAGGTAGGAGGGGTCCTCCATGGCACCCCACCCCACCAGTTGCCAATGAAAATATCAGCTGGTTGGGCACTTATCACTGGCGGGCAGAATTATCTAATAAAATATTTTTTCTTTTTGCTTTGCTAACTTTTGGGTATTCTAACTTTTATACACAGATTGTATTGCTTATGTCATTAAAACAAATAGAGTGGAATTTGCAAGGAGCAATCTTGAGTGTTATCTAGGGGGTGTCCAGGATAGAGAGTCCTTTGTTTCTGCAGAGAGGGGGCGAGGAAGGGGTAAGGCTTATCTGCATATGCAAACAAGCATCTTCCATCCCCTCTTTTCCCTGCCTCCCGCCTCCTCTCACAGGCACATCAGGCTGGGCATAGAGGGGAGGTGTGAAACGATGTGAAGTCTTCCCCTGCTCAGGGACCGCCAGGGACAGCCTCCACCCCCGTCAATGCCCACTTGCTGACGCCCCCTCTTCATCTGCTGCCCGCCCCACCAGACAACGTGCTCCTGGAGGGCAGGCCAGCTCTGGGAGTGGGCTAGAATGGGAAACCTGCAAGGCAGGCTCACTTGCGTGGCTCCAGGGGTTGTGCAGATTTGAGTCTAACTTCCCCTCTGGGCTTCTATTCCCTAGATCCACTTCCCTGACGTGGAGCGAGTTGAGTGGGCCAACAAGGTAAGGCCACTGGTGGGGCTGGATGCACTCCAGGCCTTGTCCTTCGTCCTCCAGCCTGTAGGCCCAGCAGCTGTCACCACAGCAGCAGTGCTGATGGTGACAGCAGGCACATGCTCAAAGGCACTAGGTCCAGGAGGAGCAGGGATGACTCTTCCATGGCTGGGGTGGCAGCTTTCCTACCTTCTTCATTCACTAGAATGTCTTTCTTCTCTTTAAAAACACTTTTTAAATTAATTAATACCTGGCCACAGCAGAAAAGCTAGAAAGTACGGAGAAGTATAGGGAAAAGTACAGCCCTCACTCACCTACCAGCCCGAGATCTGTGCTTTCCTAGGAAGAGCAAGACGCTAATTAGTCAGCAGCATCTGGATTCCACCTAGGTTCTAGCCTAGATCGGACACTGGCTGTGTGACCTTGGGCAGATTGCCTAACATCTCTGAACTGGTTTCTTTATCCGTAAAGTGGGGATACTTTAAATTAGGCTTCCTGCCCTGGCTTAGATCCACTGACATCATTGTTGTGATGGCTGTTAGGTCATCCAGGGAACTCCCTTTGGGCTCTGCTGCCAGATGCCCTGAGGAGGGCCCTTGCTGGGTGACTCCCTGTCAGGGGCTCCCCAGGAATCCTGGCTTTACAGATGAGAAACCGGAGTCCCAACCCCACCTGATCTGCCCAGACCCTTTCCTAAATGTGAAGCCTCCATTGCAGCCCACACCTCAACTCTCCCAGCTTGGAACTTTTTCTAATATAAACTTTGTTTCTGTTCTGGGAGGAGGCTTAGCCTGATAGCAGGAATGACTTAGGTTAGGTGTAAGAGAGGACTTCCTGAGAGTTATTGATCTAAGGGTGGTATTTTTGCCTCACCAGGAATGTCATTGCCAGGTGCATCAAGAAGCACTCAGCAGCCCCTAGAACAGTGGTTCTCAACCTTCCTAATGCCGCAACCCTTTAATAGAGTTCCTGTGGGTCGCCACCCACAGGTTGAGAACTGCTGCCCTAGAAAGTAGAGCCTGGAGTTGGGAGAGGACCCTGAGAGAAATGGGAACAATGATCCCTGAAATCTCCTCCCATAGCGGGTTTAGAATGGGTGCGTGGAGGAAGCAGGGACACTGCGCTGCAGCCCATATCCACAGGAAAGAAGAGGAAGAAGCTTCTGCCCCAAAATGAACATACCTACTTGTCTGCTGTCCATACCCCTCTCTGATCGCTGCCCTCACGTACTGTCTCTGCCGCCTTCTGTTCCATAGGTCCTGAGCTTGGCTCCCAGACCAGTGCAGCGAGTCAGTGTGCTGCAGAAGTCAGCCAAGCGCTGCCTCTTCAGATGGTTAGAAAGCTAAATCCACAGGAAACAATTTAGCTCTCTCTTCTGGAATTTTTTCTCGAAAGTTCTAGCATCTGCTACTTTTTGTTTATAATGTAGAATGAGATTATGTTTTAGCTGAGAATGAAAGGGCTTCATCATTTTAAATCTAGTGAATGAATATTTCCTGGTGCTCTGCAAAATGGCACCAAATTGCAGGTCCTGCTGCCGGTAGGAATATGGGACCCACTGTGTAGTTATCAGAGGTTTGATGGAGAGATAGTCGGGTAGGTGAATGGGGGCGGGCAGGCAGCATAGGGGCCCCCACCCTGGGACCTGGCTGCAGAGCATTGGGACCTTGTCCTACTCAGCTGTGGGTCTGCCAGGGGTCACGGACCTGACGGGCAAAGGCCTCTTCCCATCGTCATAGGTCATCTCACAGATCTGGCCCTACCTAAGCATTATCATGGAAAACAAGTTCCGGGAGAAACTTGAGCCCAAGATCCGGGAGAAGAGCATCCACTTGAGGACCTTCACATTCACCAAGCTCTACTTTGGACAGAAGGTGGGTGCTGTCTCAGGATCAGTCTGGACTCGCTGTGCAGTCATGTGCCCTCCCTTCCCACTGACTCCCAGCCCAGGCCAGTCACCTGACTGCAACGATCCCACTGGTTCTCTCATCCCACTGTCACCATCTCTCCAAGTTTCAAGGAGGCCTGCCCAGCTCAGAGGGAACAGGAAGGAGGAGTGCAAAATAGTTCCACTTTTCTTAAGCAAAATTTTGGAAACATGGCACAGTTGTAGCCAGACAGATATAAAGGGGACAAATTGTAGTCGCTAACCTTGGGTATCAGCTGGGGCAAACAAACACACCTTCATGGCCTAAGATAGTCAGTGCCACAAAGAGGTTTATTGTTTTTTACTAATTGGGTGGTTCTGTGTTACCAGTACCCACTAGCTGTGAAGATCAGTAGATGTCCCAGGATAGAATGGTCCATGGCCAAAGAAGTTTGTGTTAGCATTTCTCCTGTCAGGGGCCCTATTCTAGACTGGTTTTCTGTTTCACCCTCTCTGCCCCCCTCTTCCTGTCCTAGTGTGCCTGATTGATGTCTTAATTTGATCATCCAAACTGCGTCCCCCAGGCAGAGAGCTGCTGTGATGTCTACCACCCAGTAAATCAGAGGTGTTGGTATCTAGTCTGTTCTGGAAAGAGCAGGTATCTGAGTGCGGGCCAGCCTGCTGAGTGCTGTCTGCCCACTCTGCCCCGTTAGCCCCGTGATCAGGGATGGGTTCGGCCTGCCTGAGACCTGGAGATTCTGGTTTATGCCACTCAGACTCTGCCAGGGCAGGCTTGTGCCAGCATGTGTGGGTTCATGTGTTCACTCCTTATTTCATCACCTGTGACCGAGCATGTGCTGTGTACTCGGCACCATAGACAGAGGTGGGTGTGGTCACACCCCTGCCTGTGGGAGGCAGATGCATAAGCTGGCAGATGACACCATGGCAGTGTACAGATGCAGGCTGACACCATGGCAGTGTATGTACTCAGGATGATGCCATGCCAGTGTATGTGTTCAGAGGAATGTGTGAATTCACAATTGAAGGGGTGGAGGGGGGTGTGGTAGTGGAGAAGACTTCTAAAAGGTGGTAATATCTGAGTTGGGTTTTGAAAACTTCAATAGGCTGAGAGGCAGGAAGCCTGCAGACTGCTGGGTTTCCAGCCTGGGCTGCCTCACCAGCTCCTCGGGCCAGGGGGTCTCTGGTCTTTGGGATGTGGCACTGCTGTCAAGCCATCCTCAGGAATGATTTTTACTATGTCAGGAGAACCTGGAGGGGGAAGCTGTAGGCTGACCAGATGACCCAGTGGGGTCACAGAGAACTGCTTACACGACTCAGTACACTTACCGTCCCTGCTTCCCTCACACCCACTACCTACAATTCCCATCTGTGTCCAGCTTCCCACTGTGCTATGGGGACCTTGGGGCAGTTGCTTAACTTCTCTGACCTCCAGTGTCGTGTATTAAAGGAAAGGACCTCTTCTAAAAGTTGTTGTGAGGCATTAACAGCAGCCCTGGCCTTAGGGCCCCTCTGCAGCTGTGTGGATAGTGCCCAGCAGAGAGGGCCACTGTGCTGAGGGCCAGTGAAGGCCAAGTTCTAGCCTGGAGCCCTTTACCTGACTGGTCCCTGGGCCAGGGTCACCCTGCCTGATATAGAGCTGGTGGTTACCCTCCTCTCTGTGACAGTGCCCTTTGGGCAGGGAGCCTTCCCCAGGTCCTGACTCTGCACGCGAGAGCTGAGTTTTCCTAGGTGTTGGCAAATCACCCTCTCCTCTCGGAGCAGCCCCAGGCTGTGGCAGGTAGTCACAGTACCCTTTCTTTCAACCTGGGGTCCGGAAGACCCTCTTAAAGAAAAAGAATATGAAATTAAAAACACAAAGTTAGGGGGAAAAAAGAATATTAAATAGGAGAAAGAGAAAATAAATCACGACAAGTTATACATTTTAATAAGCTGACATATCACACACATCACAAACTCTGGGAAAACTACCTGCTATTTTAAATTATCAGCTCGACGTGTCCCTGTGCCACCCTCCCCTGCAGGCTGGGCTCCAGCCTCTGAGAACTGTTTTGTGTGACAGCGCATTTGTACTTAGCACTTTCTGTGGAGAGAATCAAAAGATAATGGAATCTTTTCTCTAATGGGATTATTGAATTTTCCCCCAACATTTTATTTAAAAAAATTCCAAACATAGAAAAGAGTTGAAAGAATTATTTCCTGAACCTCACATACATGCCGTCTGGGTCGTACAAGTGTTAACCTTTTGCTGTATGCGCGCTGTTGCTCATCCTTGTATCTATCTCTCCATCCTTTATTGTTTGTTTGTTTTGAGACAGAGTCTCACTCTGTCACCCTGGGTAGAGTGCCATGGCATCATCATAGCTCACAGCAACCTCAAACTCCTGGGTTCAAGTGATCCTCTTGCCTCAGCTTCCCAACTAGCTCAGCCTACAGGTGCTCACCATGACCTGCCATGACACCTGGCTAAGTTTTTGAGCTCAGGCTGGTCTCAAACTCCTGAGCTCAAGGGATTCTCCAGCCTTGGCCTTTCAGAGTGCTAGGATAACAGGTGTGAGCTACCTGGTCTGACTTTCTATTCATTTTTAAAAATTAATTTCAAACTAAATAGCAGACATCAGTGAACTTCATCCCTAACCACATCAGCATATATATCATTAACTCAAATTCAAATAAAATTTGTCTTTTCTTAATAATCAATAGCCAGACCCCACTCCAATGCCACCTAACAGGAGAAGAAGAGTCTGGGCTAAGGTAGAAGCTGATAACACAAGAAAAAATTACCTAGGGTGGCCCTGGATTGGGGCACTTTAATTCCAAGGGTCAGAGCCCTGAGCAGGGAGCCTGGCCTCTTGCCTTGCCCTGCTGGGGCAACTGCTACTCACCTGCAGGCTGCATTTATATCCTTGCTCCTTCAGGAAGCCTTCAGTAATGACCCTTAACCCTAAGCTGGGTTGGGAGATATTGCTATAATCCTCAGGTGTCCATGTGTTTTCATTGTGGCCCCCTCCCCACTTGTGCCCTGTGCTTGCTGTGGGCCCATCAGGGCAGGCTCGGCTGCCTTGCCCCTGGCTTTCCCCTTGTCTGGTGTCCATCACAGAGTGAGTGCTCAATAAATATCTGCATGGGATATTTACAGATATTTATTCAGTAAATATCAGGGCGGGAAAGAAAGGAGGGGACACATTCCAAGAAGGGAAATCTCAGGGCTCTGGGGTGGATTTTGTGTTTGTGCCTCATCCTGGGAGTGCAGTGGTCATGTGTGTTGTTGACAAGACCCAGGGCTGGGAGATGGGCTGGCAGTTGCAGCAAGAACCCTCTGACCTGGCCTTCTGGCTTCTCTCCCAGTGCCCCAGGGTCAATGGTGTCAAGACATACACCAACAAGTGCAACCGAAGACAGGTGGTCCTGGACCTGCAGATATGGTGAGCCCTGGTGCCTGTGGGGCCAGGTGTGGGCTGCAGGGGCTGCGGGATACTCTGTGGCAACAGCTAGTTTGAAGACAGGGGCACATATACACTCTGACTTGGGGTGTCAAAACCCTCACAGGACCTTCCCCTGGCACTGGGGTGCAAGGTCCTTCCTGAGGAAGGGGAAGAATGTCACGTCAATGAAATGGACAGGAGAACCACCTCTGACCCCTGGGCATAGGCCTGGCTTCTCCCATCCCATGGCATACTCTGGGTGCCAAAACCCAGACAGAAGAGATTCCTTAGAAACCAAGGCCAGCTCACTGGAGGGTCAGACTAGCTGCCTCAAAGAGGATGTGGCTAGAGGAGCAAGTGTAACGAGAATATGTGGGGAATCATGATGAGGCCTAGGGAGCTCCAAGTGCGGGCTGAGAGAGAGCTGGGCTTCGTGGCTTCTCCATAAACAAGAGGACACAAAGACACATCAGTGACTGATTCAGGGGATTGGACAAGGACACCTCCTTTAAATGAGGTTCTTAATGGGCTTGAGTCAGGAAGAAGGGAGATGCAATCTAGGAAGTCTTCCTGGAGGTGGTGTGATTTGAATTATGCTTTAAAAGGCAAAGGATCAACTCCTGAAGTTCCAAAGTGTTGCCATTCCTTTCTAGTGTTTCATATTTCCTGTCCTTAGCCCAGAGGCTGGCACTGAGAGCACACTGGGAAGACAGGAGCCACTTCTGGGATCTCCCACCTCTATTTGGGGCCAGTTTCTAGTGTGTTGGGATGGTGATGGTCTATCCAGCACTGGTGGTGCCTGGGGCGCTGCCATAAGATCCCTGTTATGAATAACTATGTCAGTCTGAGGTTATCTGGCCCACTCAGTGCCCCAGCAGCTCCTGGGGTCCCCGTCTGCCAGGATCCTGCCCTGGGGGCAGTGTCCTTCAAGACCTGTGGTAATGGTGGCAATCAACTGGGAAAAATGAAACTAAAAGCAGCAAGAGATAAAGGGACAGAACACAGAGAAGAGAGTTTTAAAGAGTGGGCCTAGGGGTCCACCACTAGCTTATTGGGCTTCAGCGAGTGGCCCTGAGTGTTTGTTCCACCCAGCCTTTATTGAAGTCTATTTTCTTATTTAGCCGAGGGGGTATGCTAAGGAAGGGAACAAATAACGTCAGCAGTTTCTATGAGTAAGACTGTTAGTTCTTAGTTTGTCTATAATCATTAACTTTAAGAGTCTGGGCAGCCATGAGAAATCCAGAACCTGAGCCTTGTGTGGGGGCAGCCTCCTGTCTGTGGTTACACACACGGATTCCTTGGGGAAGGTTGGAATCAGTGGACAAGAGGAATTTTCTCCTTATCTCCACCTGGAGGCATTTCCCTCTGTGGTTGTTCCCTTGATCTCTGTCTTGGCCATAATACAAATCCCCACAATGGGTATTTGACTATTGACTGGGCAGGGGGCCGCCTGTTTAGTGTTACTCCCCAGGCCTTGCACACAGCTTCTGCTATGGCCATTGTTCTTCAAAGTACTTACAGACCCAGCAGGGAGGTTTGTAAGCTGCATCCCTCACAGGCTTCCAGTAAAAGCAGAAACTGCCCAGACAAGTAGTTCAACTATTATTTTAAAAGTAGGCTAGCTAGATTGTTTTATTCCACCTGGCTCAGGTTATTTCTCTGTTTTTCCCCCTTTCTGGGAGTGTTTTCCCTTGCCAAGAATTGGGTCTTCAGTCCCACTTCTCCCTGTACTGTCTCTTCTGTCCTCCCAGGGCACTCAGCATTTCTGTGACTTGTGACGTTGGGCTCCTATGCCCGTGCCCCACAGATGTTCCACAGCTGTTGTCTCTTCCCTTTAGTCTCCTTTAGTCCACTGACAGGGTCTCCTGGTCTTTACCCTCATAGGCTCCCTATGCCCACCACCTAGCAGGAGCTACCAGCTGGACTCAGGCTCCCGCCCTGAGGCCTTGTTACCTTTCCCCACCTCTACCCCCAGTAATGCCTGGACAATGGCTGCTTCTGTGTCCTCTGGAAGAGACCTGGGCAGAGATGGGGTGGGGAGCAGCAGTGTGAAGTGGGGGATGTACTGACCTGGGGCCCTTCCTTTTCATCTTTGGGGTGTCATGGTGAGAGGTGGTGCCCAGAGCCAGTGCCCTCATGGTCAGGGGTGGGGCTGCGTCTGGGGTATCTGGGCGCAGGTCTGGGCAGAGCTGAGAAAGGCTGAGGCTCTTAGGGAGGCCATGTGCTGAGACACAAAGTTCAGGCTTGGCGACTGGCCACCGGACTTAGCTTGTGTGATACTGGGCACGCTTCCTAACATCTCTGAGCGGTGGACCTGCCCCCTTTTCTACCTTCCTTGTCTTTCCCCTTTCAGCTACATTGGCGACTGTGAGATCAGTGTGGAGCTGCAGAAGATACAGGCTGGTGTGAATGGGATCCAGGTGGGGCCCAACATGGCTGCCTCATCTTTGGGGGTAGGGATCAGGGGAGGGGGAAGCCGGGTGCAGACTGCAGAAGGCTGGTGACAATAGAGGAACTTCTGGCCTGAGGTCACATGGCTGGGAAGTGGTGGTTGAGCTTTGCCAACCTGCAGCTTTGCCTTGGGGCCCCACAAGCTGCCTCTGATTGCGCAGCCCGAGAGGCTTTGGCTGCCTGCACAAGTGAGAGGTGCTGCTCTCAGGGTGATGAAGAACCGTTGCCAGAGATTGAGGGACCCAGGAGGTGGGAATAACTCAAGCCAGGAATACAGGAACTGAGTTGGGGCTAGAAACTATTCCTAGGTCATCTGGACAAAGGCCGCAACTGTGGGGGCCAGCACACTGGGAGATGGGCAGTAGGGGCAGCTCATTGCCCTGGTAGCTAGGAAATGGGGCACAGCTGTGTCCAAGCCTCTATATACCAAGTAAGAGCAAGTGGCCTCTGGCAGCTGGTCCTGGCATTTGTGGGTAGTGTGGGCATGAAATAAGATAGCAGATGGCCTTGGCCAAGCCCAGCAGGCATGGGAAGGAAGGAGGCTGGGGACCCTCAGGTGCCGTCTGTTCCCATCCAGTTGCAGGGCACCCTGCGGATCATCCTGGAGCCCCTCTTGGTGGACAAACCCTTCATAGGAGCCGTGACTGTGTTCTTCCTTCAGAAGCCGGTGAGTCCTGGGCACTAGAGGTGGGCCTGCTACTCCCTGTGAGTAAGCATTTGTCTGCTGGACCCCAGACATTGAGTTTGATCCCACAGACCCCATGGTACAAGCCCACCTAGCCTCAGGCACTCACACACTGTATCCCATTTAATCATTGAGGCACCTGCAAAGCTAGACTCTGCCCTCCCCAAGATGAGGCAGCTAAGCTCGGAGGTCACAAATGGCCTGAAGTGGAGCCTAAGACTCAAACTCACAGCTCTCAAAGTCCAGGCCAGCCTGTTCCCCGTGACTAGCCCACTCCTGAGGTGGTCCTGGCAGGGAAGCAACAGCCTGGCAGCCCCCACCCCATCCCAGGCTAAAGCTTGGACCCTCTATGCCTCCTGAGGCCTGAGCAGGGCTGGGGGTACCCTCACCTGCCTGACACCTCTGCAGGCTGGGTTCTCCATTCAGGTGGGCGTGACCAATGTTTTAGCCCAGGCCCCCAGCCCTCTCCAGCCTAACAGCCTCCCTCTGCCCTGTAGCACCTGCAGATCAACTGGACAGGCCTGACCAACCTGCTGGATGCCCCAGGAATCAAGTAGGTGCCTGGGAGGGCCTCCAGGGAAGGCCCAGGTGTGAGGGTCCACAGAGCTCCGTGTGACCCCCTTGCGTGAATTAGGGACTGGTCTCAAGATTTCACAATGGCTGTGTCATCCTCTGGGTTCTCCCTATGGGGGCAAAAGTGTTCATGTGTTTGGAGTGGGGGTGGGAGGTTAATGGGGTCATAGGGCCTCAGTGGGCAGGCACTGTGCCCAAAGCATGCATACTCATGCTGTGGGGGAGAAGTGTTTTGCTCAATGTTGTGCTGAGGGACATTGAGGTCTCTGTCCCAGTGCAGGGGGAGAGTGGCTCCAATCCGATGAGATGTGGTTCTAGAGGAGGCTGCGTGGGCTAGTGTGAGGTGGCACAGGCTCTAGAATCAGACTCAGCAGCTCCCAACTCTGTCACTTAAGCAGCTGAATGAATGTGTTAACTTCCTTTCCAGGCTCTTCCTCAGTAAAAGGGGAGCCTGTCTTGGGATCCCTAGAACACCCAGGTGTGTGTGGTGGTAGCATAGTGGGTGTGTACCCATGAGGGTCCTCCTCCCTTCCTTACTCCGACCCCCTGCAACCCATGTGAGTGGAGAGAAGCTTGTGTTGCCTCCCTGACCACACTGACAAATGCAGATGTGTGTGTGTGTGGGGGGGCTGTCACAACAGAGACCAGCAAGGAGGAGCTGGTCCTGGAGCCCCTGCCTTCCTGGGGCCCCATGAAGACTCTTCTCAGAGCCCCAGACCCTTTGAGAGGAACAGAAGAGGGTGCCAGCCCCAGTCAACAGGTCTACCCAAGAGGAAGAGACAGATGGCTCACCAGGCTCAGGGGACATCCACACTGATCTCAGCTTCCCTGGACAAAGAGAATCCAGACATGCATTCTTTGATTCAAAAAATATTTATTAAGCACTTGTAATTTGTGGCAGGTCTGTTCCAGGCTGTGTCCCCATCTCCCTATACTGGGAGGTAGGCAGGCAATGAATGGAGAACGTGAGTGACGTCAGGGAGTAGAGGGCTATGTCGTGGCCCCTGCTGTGGGCTATGCACTGTTCTCAGCACCTCACACTACTCCCTCGACCCCACAGCTACCTTAGGAGTAGGCATCATGAGCCCCACTTTAGAGATGAGGACACCAAGTTACAGAGAGGCTAGCGACTTGCCAACGTCACACAGCGAAACAGGTGGTGGAGCTGAGATTCTAATGTCCTTGCTCTTAGCTGCCATGCTGTGCTGCCTCAGGGAACAAAGCAGGATGGAAGCAGTAGGGCTCGGTGGCGAGTAGTGGGAGGGCTGCTATTGGGATAGAAAGTAGGGGGCTGGCACAGTGTATGTGCACCCCCCACTAGTTTCCAGGCAAGATGAGGTCAGGGATGTTCTCTTGGCTGTTAACTCTGCCACGCTGAGCTCCTGCTTCCAGCTCTGGGGATGGATGGATGGAGAGGCAGGTGGCACGGGGAGGAAATGCCTCCCCTCCACAGCTGGCCATGCCTGGTCTTCCAGTGAGTTGTCAAACAGCCTGCTGGAGGACCTCATTGCTGCCCACCTAGTGCTGCCCAATCGTGTGACTGTGCCTGTGAAGAAGGGGCTGGATGTGACCAACCTGCGCTTCCCTCTGCCCTGCGTGAGTACCCAGTTCTGGCCATAGAGCCCTGGGCCCAGTACTAAGGGACAGATGGGCTGGTGGGCGATATGTCCTGCTACCTTCAGTGTATTCTCAGGTGGGGAGCCTCATTTCTGTCCTGTGAGGCATCCTCCTTTTATAGGGAGGAGACTGAGGCTCAGGGAGGTTGAATGACTTGCCCAAAGTCACCCATCTAGGATGAGCAGAACTTTATCACTAAATATATCACAGGGATTGTGCCATACTAGGGTAGACTGAGACTTTTCTCATTCTTTTAAACAGCTGCAAAGCACCCACTGTGTGATGTACTGAATTAGTCAACCAGTTCGCAATTGATGGACAGTTATGTTGGGTCTTTTGCTTTTACAAATAGTAGTATAATGAATAGCCTCTTCCCTGTCTTTTTAGACTTTTGCTACAGTGCCCTTGGGATAGATTGACGGGAGTTGGATTTCTGGGTCAAAGGGTAAATGTCTGTATATTTACTGATATTTTAAAAAATAATAATTCTAGGAAGGAGTCATACCGTAAACCCCATTAACTATTCCTAATTCCTGTGCTCTTTATTTAAAAATTTATATTTTTTCATTTCTTTTTAAATAACCATGAGGAAGGGGCCTGCCCTAGGCATATCCCAGGCTATGGTGGGGTGGGACTCGGTGCTGGGTTGTTATGGGTGCTGGGACCTATGCCAGCAGCACTCAGTGCCCATAGGGCTTGTACACTTGGGTCTCAGAAAGAGTGACACCAGGGCTTGATCTACATGCTGGTCACATGGGGCAGGGGAGGCTGGAGCAAAGGAGGAAACCTCTTCAGGTGGTGTAGTTGTTGGCACCAGAGAGGCAAATGGCTGCAGTTGGACAAGCCATTCCTGCAGCAGTTTGGGGGCAAGGACTGTGGGAAGGCCAGGGGTGTGGGCGGCTTCCTGATGTGGCCATCACTTGCTGTGTGGTCTCGCCCAGGTCACTGCCAACTCTGGCTTCTGACTCCCACTCCAGACGACGGAGCGGCAAGCTGGGGGCAGCAGTGATCTCTGATGGCTTTTTCTCTGATATTCTGTGTGTTGAGCGCTGGCAAGGCCCAGGAAGCAGCTGTGAGCCCTGGGCTTGGGTATTTTCCAGGGGGTGATCAGAGTCCACTTGCTGGAGGCAGAGGACCTGGCCCAGAAGGACCACTTTCTGGGGCTCCCACGCAAGTCAGACCCCTACGCCAAGGTGAGCATCGGCCTGCAGCATTTCCAGAGCAAGACCATCTATAGGAACCTGAACCCCACCTGGAACGAGGTGTTTGAGGTGAGGATATGTTGGCTCCGCTTGTCAGCCCTCACTGCCCTCTAGGCTCCTGGGTCATGCTGGGCACAGGCAGGGAGGGCCTTTCCCTCGCGTGCTCACTGGCCACACTGGGCCAGGGGAATGGGCCCTAGAGATGGGCAGCCATGGCTTTGTGATTTCTACTTCCCATATCTACCAGGCTTCCAGAGGAGGGCTCCCCTGGCCCCACTGGAGGGCCAGCCATGGGCAAGTTCCTCCCCATAAGAGTTGGCTTTGTTGGAAGTTTTCAGATCAAAGTAAAAGACCCTGGGACGCTCTGCCCCACTCTTCTCAGGCTCCCAGAGGTAGGACCAGAAGCCCGAAACTCTTCCCTAAGTTCAGCCACAGTCCCTGCTACTTGAAGGGTGGAACCACAGCTTCTTTAGGCCTTGAAGTCACCTCAGACTTACATGTCACCTCCAAGGTGTCCCCTCCCTACACATGTGGATGCTCTGTTACATCTGGGGTGATGCAGGGGGTGCAGGGGTGATAAAAGGCAGCCAAGCTTCCTGGTGTTACAACCCAGGGGGGCTGGGAGAGCGTGACGGGCAAGTGCTCTGGAAGCTGCGAGCCCCATGCAGAATGAACAGCAGCCACTATCCCCTGAGTACCCGCTCTGCCACAGGCAGTAGATGTTGTCTCTAATCCTCTCTTGCACCCCAAAGGGAGAGACATCACTCCTTTCTCATGGATGGGGTTCTCAAAGTGCTGAGAAGGCCAGGGGCTGCCAGGGCTCCAAGCTGGGAATTGGCTCCCCTTGTGCCGTATGGAAGGTGGATTCATCGGCTGTGGTGGCCTGCAGGTGAAGACACCTATCTTTCCTTCTAGTTCATGGTGTATGAGGTCCCTGGGCAGGACCTGGAAGTTGACCTGTATGATGAGGATCCTGACAGGGATGACTTCCTGGGCAGGTGAGGAGGATGGGCAGGGGTGGGCTTGGGGGCAGCCTTCCTTCCCCTGGGGTGCTGGGCCAGGCCTTGGGGCACAGGTACCCCTGCTTCCAGTTACCTGCAGCCCTGTCTGGCCACTCTGACATGGTTATTGATTCAGGCAACCTGCCCCACCATTCCACGTCCCTGCTACAAATCTTTCTACATGTCTCCTGAGTGCCCAGACCTGACCTAGGCCCTGGTGGGGTGCAGAGAGGGCCCTACGGTTTGTATACCTTTGGTTTTGTTTTCTGCCCTTCTGATAATGTACCCAGGGTCCCCATGTGGAGTAGTCAGCAAGGCTGGTACAATGGCCACAGGCCTGGGCCCAAGAAACCCTGGCTGCTCTCTCACAGGTGGATCCTTCAGGGTTATGGGAGGACTGACGTTGCCAGGATGGGCTGGCTGCAAAGCCTCAAATTGATGTCTTTTGGTCCAGCAGTCCCATTCCCAGGAATCTCCTATAAAATAAACACTACAATCTGAAATGTTAACTGCAGAAGCTATCTGCAGTAGCAGAACAATCTCCTGGAAGTGTGAATGTCCAGCCTCAGAGGATATTGGCTGAATGTTTGAATAAATTTGCCATTACTAAACTACAGAATATTCCACAGCACTGAAAACCAAGTAGACTCCGTACTGTGTTAGTGGGGGAGAGCAGTGGGAAGTAACCTGTCATCTGTTTGACCTTTTCAGGAGAGGCCACTTGAGTGTGTATTTTTGCTTGTGGCTGTTAACCCTGCTCATCTCAGATGAGGAGGCAGGGAAGGGAGTCCCACCCAACTCTCAGGCTCCTGAATTGTGTACCTTGTTTCCCTGAACACAACAAAATGGGAGGGACACAGTCTGAGCCCACGAAAAGGCTCCCCGGCAGATGTTGCTTATCACTTTTTGTTTTCCATCTGAAGGAGAATAGTTGCAGTTTTGTACTATTGCAGATTAGACGTATGGCTTTTATGTCACTGAGTTCTGGTGTGTTTGGGGCTCAGAAACATTTCTAACAGTTGCATTTTTCTCTCTGGCTATCAGGCCCTTCTGGGGTTGGGCTTGGTTCGAGGCAGGTCAGGGGCAGGCTATAATGTGGGTGTTACCTTCTCTCTCTCTCTCTCTCTCTCACACACACACACACACACACACACGCCTCCCTTGCAGGGCACGTGGGGCAGTTTTGGAAATGGAAGAGCATTTGCGGTTGTTAAAATGACTGTAAGAGGCGATGCCTCTGGTATTTAGAGGGCACCAGACCAGGAGGCTGAATTCCTGCAATGCATGGGTAGTTTTACACAATGAAGAATCATCCCACTCCAAATGCCAGTAGCACTGTCATTGAGAAATCCATGGGGGAGGTGCCCAGCCTCTTCTTGTCCCCTTGGGGATGGGGGGCACCAAGTGCTCCCCTGGCAGCACACCCCTGCAAGCAGCCCTCATGGCTGGCTAGCCTTCCCTTCACTGGAGCCAACCCTGGCCTCCCATTGGTTCCATGGGCTAAACAAGATCCTGTCTTACCGGCCCCACGTGAATACTCTGCTGCCTGCCTCCTCTGAGCCGAGCTGACCTCTCTCCCTGTGTGTTGCAGCCTGCAGATCTGCCTCGGGGATGTCATGCTGAACAGAGTGGTGGATGAGGTAGAGTTGGTACCTGTAGCCCCGGGGGGTTTCAGCATGTTGCCTCACCCAGCTAGTCCTACGGAATGGGACCCCTCTGTGCGGGGCTGCACACAGGCCCGTCCTTGGGCAAAAGCTGGCTGGGGCACAGAAGGCTCCAAGGACTCCCCAGTGTCTGGGTTGGAAGAAGCTTCCCTGAGAAATGCCCACAGCCCAAGGAGCCCCAGCAGGGGACAGTCACATCAGAGGAGGGCAGGCTAGGCAGGCTATGTCCATCCCAAAGTTATAGCACTTCTGCTTCCTATAACCACATCACCCCAAGCCTAGGGCGTACCCTATCTGGGCTAGTCCACTTTTCCCTGGAGCCCTACTAGGGCCCTACCAGGTCCCAGAACTCTGGTCCTTACCCTGAGCACTCCCTCCCCACCCTCACCCCACAGTGGTTTGTCTTGAATGACACAACCAGCGGGCGACTGCACCTGCGGCTGGAGTGGCTTTCACTGCTCACTGACCAGGATGCTCTGATGGAGGTGAGTGCAGGTGTCAAGGGCTCCTCGCAGGAAGGTGGAGGGCCCCGAGTGACCCAGGCAGTGTGCAGATGGAAGATGGGAGGGAGATGGCCCCTGTCCCTGTTCACCTCCTGGAGAATATGTCACTTAGCCCTCTCCACGGAGGAGAACTCCAAAAAGCAGCTCTGAGCATCTCCCTCACCTTCAGGGATGAGGGGTCCTTAGAGCTCTGTGTCAGTGCCTGTCAGCATGGGGAAATCCACCTTTGTGTCTAACTTGAATCTTTCATGCTGCAGGGGTATTCTTTCTTAGCTTCAATAAAAAGTTAGGTAGGCTTGACACCTGTAGCTCAGTGATTAGGGCGCCAGCCACATATACCAGAGCTGGCAGTTTTGAACCCAGCCCAGGCCTGCCAAACAACAATGACAACTATAACCAAAAATAGATGGGTGTTGTGGTGGGTGCCTATAATCCCAGCTACTTGGGAAGCTGAGGCAAGAGAATCACTTAAGCCCAAGAGTTGGAGGTTGCTATGAGCTGAGATGCCATGGCACTCTACCCAGGGTGACAACTTGAGACTCTGTCTCAAAATAAATAAATAAATAATAAAAAATAAAAATAAAAAGCTAGATTGTGAGAGATCTTACGGGTAGTCTGGTCTCTAAGGGCTGGCTGGCTTCTTTCTGCTTCTCCAAAACCAGTCTGTGTGTCCTACTGCTGTGGGCACCCAGTGAAGGTCTGTGTCTGTTACAGGACCACAGTGGTCTCTCCACTGCCATCCTTGTGGTCTTCTTGGAGAGTGCCTGCAACCTGCCGGTAAGTGGCAAAAGGTCCAGACATTCATACACACCCTGCCTTGTGCCCATCACTTTCAAATGTCCATGTGTTCCTTTAACCCTGTTATTCTTTTGCTACAGAGAAACCCTTTTGACTACCTGAATGGTGAATATCAAGCCAAAAAACTCCCTAGGTTTGCCAGGGTGAGTGAGCACTGCAGTGAGGGCAATCATGGCTCCTCTTCCCTGGAGTAACTGCAATTATGTACACATGGCCCGGGGCTAGCAAGAGGTGTGATTGTTGAGTCCATTGTGCCAGGCACTGGGCTTGGCAATTTGTCCCCCACATTTGTTATCCTTATAGAGTCCCATGATGACTGTGTATCATTAAGTTTTATTGCCATTTTACAAACAGGACTCAGGGGTTAAGTGCCTGCTTGGGCCGTGCAGCAATAAAGAAGAGCCAAAACTTGGCTCTACCCTGTTTTCATGGCCTCAGAAAACAAGAGCCTGTGCCCAGCCAGGCCCAGCTCTGGCCTCTGGTCTTTAACTTGCAAGCCCTCTAGCTGTCAGTCCTGTCCTGGTGGCTGCAACGTAATGACAGCCTGGGGACCTGGGAGCACCAGAGCAGCCTCTCAAAGGGAAGCCATTGGCTGGACCGAGGTCCCACTGATACCCTTGGGGGACAGGGTAGAGCTATGTCAAGTTGAAGCTCATGTGCCACCTGCATTGTTCACAGAATAAGGTCAGCAGAGACCCTTCTTCCTACGTCAAGCTATCCGTAGGCGAGAAGACACACACAAGTAAGGTAAGGTAGCTTGGTGTGTAATCCCGGGGTAAGGAAATGGGACCCAACCCTTCTCAGGGAGAGAGGCAAAAGAGAAGGGACTTGCCTTTCACTGAACATCTAGTAGCCCTTTATTTTATTTAATTGTCACAATATCTCACAAAAGAGTTTTATAGTTGAAGAATATGAGGAACAGAAATAAATGACTTACCCAAGGGTACAGGCTACCAAGTTCAGCTGTGGTTCTGAAGTCCACGTCCCTTCCACCATGAGGCTTCTCTGTCTAGCAGCAGAAATCCTGTCAGCACCTTCCTCCCTGAAGTGTGCTGTAAGGCCAGGGTAATCTTCGGTCCCATAAACCTCCTGGCAAAGCACTCTCTGCTGTTGAATCTGGCTGGCTACAGTGTGTATGGGTCTGACTCCTGGGCTACCAGGAGGTCAGGCTCCCGGTGGTACCTGGTGGCCAGCTCTGCCCAACCTGACCCTTCAATGATCTTTCCCTCTTCTCTTCCTAGACCTGTCACCACAGCAAGGACCCTGTGTGGAGCCAAGTGTTCTCCTTTTTTGTGCAGAATGTGGCAGCTGAGCAGCTCCATCTGAAGGTTTGCCTGAAACTGGGCTCCTGGAATAAAGTTAAGAGGTTTCTAGGCCAGGCAGCGGGGGAGCTTGAAGTATGTCCTAGGGCACAGGAAATCCTGGCAGTGTTTAGTCAGCCCCCTGTGGGTGGGAGAGGACACAGAGGCTCCACAAGGCCTCATCTTCTTGAGGCCAGTGCCCAAGGTCATTGTGCCAGGAGGCTGTGAGAGGACAACCCCTCAAGTCTCTTGGCTCTCCCTGTAAAAGTCTTTCTAGCTGATGCCTGACACCCAGAGCAATCTGTGCTAGAATCTACCCGAGACATTAATAATGGGGTACTTCTTTAAAAATATATTTCATTTAATCTTCATAAACAATCTATGGAAGAGAGTTATCTCTTTTTTTTTTTTTAACATATGAGCAAGAGAGGCTAAAATAATGATGTGTGTGAGATCTCATAGCAGCAAGTGCGGGAGCTGAGATCTTTCGGGTCCTGAGCCCTGCCTGGATGCCATCATGAAGGAGCACAGCTCGTCAGTCCTTAAAGCACCCGTGGCCCTGGGCATGTGACGGACCTCATGTAGCTCATAATGGCCTCTACCCTGAGTCACACTGTCTTGCTTGGACTGAAGGCAGTTTCCAGAACAGGAGCAGAGGCTAACAGAAGCACAATATACACTTACTGAAGTGGACGCAGACTTGGCAGGGCAGTGGGGCTTGGTCATACTCTTGTTTTGTGACTGCTTCATTACTCAGGTGCTTGATGATGACCAAGACTGTGCTCTGGGTGTGCTGGAGTTCCCCCTGTGCCAGATCCTCCCCTATGCTGACCTCACCCTTGAGCAGCGCTTTCAGCTGGACCACTCAGGCCTGGACAGCCTCATCTCTATGAGGCTGGTGCTTCGGGTAAATCACTCCTGTTCTCTGGGGAGGGAAGGAGAAGGGAGAGGAGCTCTGGCTATGGATCAAGGTGAACCGCCCCAGCACTAAATACCTGCTCTGTGTCTGGAAGAAATCAGGAGATGGAGGCATGTTTTTCATCACTTTTGATATATTGTCAGCCATTATCTCTTCAAATACTGTCTGTTTTCCATTCTTTTATACTCCTGTTGTAATTTCTCATCTATCCACCATGCCTCTTGATCTCACCTTCATTCCTATCTCTTTATCTCAGGGTGCTATATTCTAATTTCTTCAGTGCTATCTTCCAGACCATCAGTTCTTTCTTTGGCTATGCCAACTTTATTATTTGGCCTGTTCATAGTTTTTAATAATGGCAATTTTTCATTTCTATCTTTTCAAAATCCATATGGTCTTTTTTGATAGAATATAAACATAAAACACATAAGCATGACAGGATGCAAACATATGTTCAGAGTTCCTTTATGGCCTGGACTGAGGGGGTTCTCTTTAAAAAGAGGTTCTCCTTTTGCTGCAGCCAAGCACCTCAGGGGCATTATAAATCTGAGTCCGTTCTTATGTTAACTCTGGGTTTTAAGACTCCATAGGTAGTATAAGTATGATTTTTTTTTTTTTTTTTTTTTAGAGACAGAGTCTCATTTTGTCACCCTTGGTAGAGTG